CTATAGGCTATACATATAATGTATTATTATTATTATTAGGCCTATGTGTTGGACATGTGTGGTTGGACTGTGTCTCACGGGCAGGTTGCAGTGTAACATCAGAGGAGACTGGATCAATTGTACATTCTCAAACTGCACCACTTAGAACTAACTAAACAATGCAGAGATTATTTGTATATAATTGGATTCAATAACCTTAAGAAATGCAACAGTATGAAGTGATTTGTAAATAGGAATACAGATTTGACTTAATGTTTTCATAAATATATTTTTCTCCCAGTTTGTCATAGGACTTATTTTGACCCTCTCAAAGAACCGGAACCGAAAATAACCGGAATCGAAAAGCAGAACCGGAATCGTTAAAATCCAAACGATACCCAACCCTTTGTGTGATGCAGTAAAATCTTACCGCTCACTTACGTTAGCGGTGTCATAAAAACCGTGGGAAAATGTAAAATACGATGGCGAAGAAGAAGATTCCAGTGGCCCCAAGTGAAAAATGTATTCGGACAAGTAAATTGCCAAACTCACTTGTCCATGGACAAGTACTCTCTAAAAACTTTTTCTCACACTGAGTACAGCGGGAGGGCCAGTTTCAGGGATGTGTGAGAGGAGATGATCTAATTCCTCCAAGAAGTCCCCCAAGGCGCCTGGTGGACGGTAGAGAACAACAATGGTTAATTGTATAGGATGGGTTACTGTGACGGCATGGAATTCAAAGGTGGAGGGAGTGAAGTTAGGTAGCTTGAAGAGGGAAAAGCTCCATTTGGGAGATAGCAGGAGAGCAGTGCCACCTCCTCTGCCAGTGGGTCTGGGTGTATGGGAGAAGGAATATGCAGTGGAGAGAGCTGCTGGGGTGGATGTGTTGGATGGAGTAATCCAGGTCTCAGTGAGAGCAAGGAAATCCAGAGACTGCAGGGAGGCGTAGCCAGAGATGAAGTCAGCCTTAGGAACAGCTGACTGGCAGTTCCACAGGCCACCTGAAACTAGATGATGGATCTCAGTGGAGCACGTGGGATAGACGAGAGCAGGCCGGTTATATCGATTAGGAGATACACGGGGCCAGTGATAATTGCGAGAAGACACATGAACAGGAATGGAGAAAATACACATGATTATAGCATGAGGGGCTAAACAACCAAATAAAATAAAACACCAGCGATACTTAGCTCAATCAGAGGAGGATTTGCCACCTCTCTGCCTCCCTTGTGACTCAAATATAAATAAATACATGTGTGTGCATCCTGCAGCTGTTTGACCGCATCAAGCTGTTCTGCATGCCGGCCAAACACCAGTCGGACCTGATCTACCTGCGCTACGTGCCGCTGTGGAAGGTGCACATGTTCACCTGTGTGCAGCTCACCTGCCTCATCGTCCTCTGGACCATCAAAGCCTCGGCCGCCGCCGTCGTCTTCCCCATGATGGTGAGAGGAAGCCTTTTGTTTTATTATTGTAATGTCATGTTGTTGCTTTGATCCTTATCATTTCACACAAAAGAATCCTCAAATAAAGAATGTTTTTAGTCCACATTTTTACATTATCTTTCTATTTTATTTTCAAATGCAGCAACTGTCATAAAAACAGTATCCCTATAAAGGTTGGGGGATTTTGAAAGCAGGACTTTTACCGGTAACACTGCTAGATCTACTTTCACATTATCTGAGTACTTCTTCTGGCCTCGTCTTCCTGCAGGTCCTGGCTCTGGTGTTTATCCGGAAGCTTCTGGACTTCTGCTTCACAAAGAGAGAGCTGAGCTGGCTGGACGACCTGATCCCAGAGAGCAAGAAGAAGAAGGAGGACGACAAGAAGAAGAGGGAGAAGGAGGTGAGAAATACAATAGATCCACACCATTACTCCCGTTACAAATCAGAAAGGATACCCTATATCAGTGGTTCTCAACTGGTGGGTCCGTTTCAAGTGGGTCGCAGATGTGTGAGTGGGAAAAAAGTCAGACTTTTATTTTGAAGGCCCGATTTCAAAACGCTGTGCATGCAGTCGGCGTTGGACTGGAAGTACCGCAGACCATAAACGGTTTTGAAAACTTCTCGTAGTGATCATCTTCTCAATAAAACATCTGGCCAATCAGAATCAAGATGGTTGCCGGAAGTCCCCACGGAGAATAACTTTGCGGTAGAACTATTCTTTATACATCCATGGGTACAACTTCAGAAACAAATGAACACATAATGAACTATGACCCCCGGTTTGATGACTGACAGGTCACAGAACAATGGGGGCTATCTACCCTTACCCACAAAGTCATTCACACAGACTCTTTGCTCTTCTCTCTTCTCTCTGTGAGGAGCAGCAAGCTGTCAGAACAAAGTGAAACACAAACAATGGCATCAAATATTATTAATATGTCTAAAAATCTCCTGGGGGAGAATCCCTGCTGGGGTTAGGTTTTCAGCATGTGTGCCTTTTTATGTGATACAGTTAATCTTTGATTCCATCATCTCATTAAACCTTTTTTAAAAGCATACTTTAGTTCTGTGAAGGGATATAAGGGAGATATGCACTGTACTTCACTTTCATTAATATTGTATGCTGAAAAGCGTATATATTACAGCACGATATTTTGCTGAATAGATTTGAGTGGTTCAACATTTCGGGTCGCGATTTATTGACAAAGGAAAAAAGTGGGTCCCGAGGCCTGACCATTTGATTTGATATACTTTATTAATCCCCGTGGGGAAATAGTTTCTCTGCATTTGACCCATCCTAGTGTTAGGAGCAGTGGGCTGCCATTTTGAACAGCGCCCGGGAACCACTGCTCTAGATGTATATTTCTAAAGCTCATGTTTATAATAACTCTCACTGACAGAAGGGGAGACAAAGGTTGAGATGTTCTGAAGAATTTTTGAGATTTTCTGAAAAATTATTAATTTTGAACATTTCAAAATAAAGTATGAATTTTGAAAAATTCAAAATAAGTCTGAATTGTGTAACTTTTTCAAAAGAAGCCTGCATTTTGAGATTTGGGGAAAAAAGTATGAATTTTGACATTTTTGTGTGTGTGTGTGTGTGTGTGTGTGTGTGTGTGTGTGTGTGTAGTGTGTGTGATGTGGTGTGTGTGTGTGTTGTGTGCTGTGTGTGTGGTGTGTGTGTGTGTGTGTGTGTGTGTGTGTGTGTGTGTGTGTGTGCTGTGTGTGTGTGTGTGTGTGTGGGGGGGTGTGTGTGCTGTGTGTGTGGTTGTGTGTGTGTGTGTGGTGTTTGTGGTGTGGGTGTGTGTTGTGTGTGTGTGTGTGTGTGTGTGTGTGGGTGTGTGTGTGTGTGTGTGTGTGTGTGTGGTGTGGTGTGTGTGCTGTGTGCTGTGTGTGGTGTGTGTGTGTGTGTGTGTGTGTGCCTGTTGTGTGTGTGGTGTGTGTGTGTGTGTGTGTGTGTGTGTGTGTGTGTGTGTGTGTGTGTGTGTGTGTGTGTGTGTGTGTGTGTGTGTGTGTGTGTGTGCAGGACACTGAGAGGATGATGGAGGAGGTGGAAGACGATGCTCCGTACGACATCAGCTTCCCGATTCAAGCTCTGAAGGGACGGTGAGTCTAACATCACTATGATCCCTGTAAATACACTGCAGCACAGATCATATATTGTGTGTGTGTGTGTGTGTGTGTGTGTGTGTGCGCGCAGTGCGGACCCCTCGGAGGTGAACATCTCAGATGAAATGTCTAAGAGTGGGATCTGGAGGTCGATGAACTCTGACAGCGGCAGAGCTCTGAAACGCTGCAGCAGGTGAAAGAAATGTCATATAAACACATTATTATTTCACTTTTACACTTTATTTTAAAGTTCTTCACTCACTTATTAATGCTCGTTTATTCCCCATTGTTTCATTATCCTCCAAAGCAGCTGCCCCGACACATTCAAATTAAGAACTGGTTTCATGAAGGTTGCTTTATTCTTTTATGAAAGAAAAAAATATATTAAAATAATAGGCGCTTTCACAGCAAGTACTTTTCCCAGGAATAGTTCCCCGAATCTTTAGTTCTGGAACTTTCCTAGCTGATCACGTTCACACCGGAATAAGTCCCTGAGGGAAGATTAGGCAGGTTTACTGGCAGGCCGCAAACAGCTTCACGGCGTATACTGCCACCGAAGTCCCCGGCCGGAAGTCCCCGGAGTTAGGGAAGGCTTCAGTAGAAGCTGCTGGGACTCCCAGCAGCTTCTACTGAAGCCTTCCGAGTAAATCGCCAGAACGCCGACACCTCCTCATCTCCACCGCTCCCATGTTTTATTTTGTGTTGCCATAAGTTAGTCTCTCTCCGTTGGTGCGCTGGGCTAATGCTAATGCGAGAAAATAAAATGGCGGCTTCGCAAACACTTTTCCGAGTTTTACGGGGCGTGGTTTGCAATCCGCCCAGCCAATCGGAAACTGGAAGCTTTTCCTCCCAGGAAAGTACCACCTCTCTAGCAGGGACGGAAGAGGGGGGAAAAGGTTCCTGAAAAAAAGGTCTAGTTCCAGATCTTTTTGGTGTGAACGCAAAATCCCAGGAACTATCGGAACTATACTGGGAAAAGTACTCCGGTGTGAAAGCGCCTATTAAGTTTAAGACTTTTGAATAATAATTTAAAAAATGAGAAAATAGAACAAAATATTTGTATAAACAGGATTAACACAAAATAAAATATTTCTGTATGTACTGACAGAAATTTAAAGCTTCATTAAAAATCCTCAAAATGTGCTTTTAATGTAAAAGAAAGAGGAAGTTCTAATCAATGCGCATAACTTTTATTAATCTATGCAATAACCTAGATTTTATTTGACAGATGAAAAAATCATTAACACGACGACGCCTTTGAGTTGTTCGATGTTGGTTTTTAGACCAAACAACTAATTGATTAATTGATTTCAGGTTGTTGGATCCCTTACATCACGGAGTGTATATCAATTTATAAAAATCTACAGTTTGGAAGCATTTAAAGTAGATGTAATAACAAAATGTCATCAAATGAAACATTTTCAAAACATTTTCTAAATTTGACAACAGACGTTTGAAGCCCTCAAAAGATGTCTTAAGATGTTTTATGATCAATGTGCAAAACTAGTATCTATAAGAGATACAACTGAATTAAATAATGTCGATGTTGTGTTGCAGTCAGGAGAAGCTGCCGAGCGTCCAGATCAGCGTGGAGAACGAGGACGGAGTCATGGCCACTGAGACCCCGTTATGATGCCTCCTTATGATGCCTCCTTATGATGCCTCCTTATGATGCCTCCTTGAGATGCCTCGTTATGAGGCCTCGTTATGATGCCTCCTTGTGATGCCTCGTTATGATGCCTCCTTATGATGCCTCCTTATGATGCCTCCTTGTGATGCCTCGTTATGATGCCTCCTTATGATGCCTCCTTATGATGCCTCCTTATGATGCCTCCTTATGATGCCTCCTTGAGATGCCTCGTTATGAGGCCTCGTTATGATGCCTCCTTGTGATGCCTCGTTATGATGCCTCCTTATGATGCCTCGTTATGATGCCTCCTTGTGATGCCTCGTTATGATGCCTCCTTATGATGCCTCCTTATGATGCCTCGTTATGATGCCTCGTTATGAGGCCTCGTTATGAGGCCTCGTTATGATGCAGCGCCTCGATATGATGCAGTGCCTCGTTATGACGCCTCGTTATGAGGCCTCGTTATGATGCCTCGTTATGAGGCCTCGTTATGAGGCCTCGTTATGATGCAGCGCCTCGATATGATGCAGTGCCTCGTTATGATGCCTCGTTATGAGGCCTCGTTATGAGGCCTCGTTATGATGCAGCGCCTCGTTATGATGCAGCGCCTCGTTATGACGCCTCGTTATGATGCCTCGTTATGAGGCCTCGTTATGATGCAGCGCCTCGATATGATGCAGTGCCTCGTTATGACGCCTCGTTATGATGCCTCGTTATGATGCAGCGCCTCGATATGATGCCTCGTTATGAGGCCTCGTTATGAGGCCTCGTTATGATGCAGCGCCTCGATATGATGCCTCGTTATGAGGCCTCGTTATGATGCATCGCCTCGTTATGATGCTGAGACCTCGTTATGATGTAGGAGGACAGGGGCACCAATCACTGAGGTCCAAAGTCTGGGGGAACAGCCAATCATGCTTCACCTCACCGTGCGTTTTCTCTAACGAGGTGCATTTTTTATATTGTCATCGTTTTAAGATGAGACCCCAGGAGCCAAAATGGCCGCCGACTTAAGAAACAGCTTCCTCAGTTTCTTTGGTCAGATTTAAGAAACACCTGAATTATAATTGTAATCGTTTTTGTATTGTTTTGACAAGGCTCTTCACCTCAGATCTATTTAATTTAATTCATCATGCTGATTGTGTGTGTCTGTGTGTGTGCTGTGTGTGTGTGTGTGTGTGTGTGTGTGTGTGTGTGTGTGTGTGTGTGTGTGTGTGTGTGTGTGTTCACCGTTGTGCCTGCAGTGACTGAATGACGTCACTGCTTATTGACATTTTAATAAATTCGGTTTGGTGACGACCAACAGATCTGACCCATTATTTATTAAAATACATCACATTCCAGGTTAATGAGACACTCACACACACACACACTCACTCACTCACACACACACACATACCATGTATACATCACTTCAGGGGACATTACATTGACTTACATGCATTTCCTGGAGACTTATCCTAACCTTAACCATAACCAACACATGCCGAACCCTAACCCTAACCCTTAACCTAACCCTAACCCTTAACTTAACCCTAACCAAGTCTTCACCCTAAAATTAATGATTCCCCTCATGGGGACCTTCATTTTGTCCCCATAAGGGGGGCGAGTCCCCACATGTGACTATGTTAACAGATGTAGGTCCCCACAAGTAATGCTAGGCCACACACACACACACACACAGTTTGCTATCAGGAGCACCTCAGGGTTCAGTATCTTGCCCAAAGACACATCAACATGTTGGCTGTACGGACTGGGATCGAACCAACAACCTTCTGGTTGAAAGACCACGCACTCCCTCTCAATGGTGTCCGGTGGCTTTGAAAACTTTGTGAATAGCGATTCATTTGCTCAGAAAAACCACCTGAAGGCAGTTGCTTCTTGAGCAGGTTGCTCTCCTCAGAATCAGAATCAGGTTTATCACCAGGTAGTTTGACACGTACGAGGAATTTGACTTTATGTCGTAGTGCATACATTAAAGTAAAACAAAAATGTAAAACACAGATAGAGAACTATTTTAAGAAAAGTATAAATTAATAACATTAAAAAATATATAGCCAAAAGTCAAATTCTGAGAAAAAGTGTAATTCTTAAAAACATCTAATTCTGAGCAATAAGCACAATTTCGAATACAAAAATCAATTTCTGACAAAAAAAGTAGTCTAGTAATTTCCTCTAAATTCACCAGAGGTAAGCATAACGCCTCTTTTCAGAATCAGGTTTTTCACATACGAGGAATTTGACTTGCTGTCATGGTGAAAACACTATTTTAAGAAAACTATAATAACATTGAAAAATAATTTTAAAAATATAGCAGTATTTACATTGAAATAGAATCGAATGAAAAATGTGCAGTAATAAAAAAAGGCTGTTATCAGTGAGAGTGATAATCAAATCTTATCATCACGTGAACTCAGTGAATGCACCTTGAGCTCAGCAGTGCATTTATGATACTGTGGAGTCATTGAGCTCTACTATCTTTCAAAATCTGCCTTCAAGGTTGTTCGCTATGGGCTCATTTTCCTTAACGGAGTCTGCTTGGAAATACTAACGACAAGTGGACGACGGAAAAAATCCTTATGTAAAGATGGAAACTAAATTAACATATCCAATCCAAATCCAACAAAGTGCTTCCTGAAGTAAAAACACCAACGACAAATTCGCAGGTCATCGATGACACGTTATCTCATCTGATAAAAACCTCTCCTGCTGATGTTCAGGAGTATATCAGTATGTAGTGTCTCTACTTTAAAGAGTCCTCTCCTGCTGGTGTTCAGGTGTATATCAGTATGTAGTGTCTCTACTTTAAAGAGTCCTCTCCTGCTGATGTTCAGGTGTATATCAGTATGTAGTGTCTCTACTTTAAAGAGTCCTCCTGCTGATGTTCAGGTGTATATCAGTATGTAGTGTCTCTACTTTAAAGAGTCCTCTCCTGCTGATGTTCAGGTGTATATAAGTATGTAGTGTCTCTACTTTAAAGAGTCCTCTCCTGCAGAGGTTCAGGTGTATATATCAGTATGTAGTGTCTCTACTTTAAAGAGTCCTCTCCTGCTGATGTTCCAGGTGTATATCAGTATGTGTAGTGTCTCTACTTTAAAGAGTCCTCTCCTGCTGAGTTCAGGTGTATATCAGCATGTAGTGTCTCTACTTTAAAGAGTCCTCTCCTGCTGATGTTCAGGTGTATATCAGTATGTAGTGTCTCTACTTAAAGAGTCCTCTCCTGCTGATGTTCAGGTGTATATCAGTATGTAGTGTCTCTACTTTAAAGAGTCCTCTCCTGCTGATTTCCAGGGTGTATATCAGTATGTATTTGTCTCTATTTTAAAGAGTCCTCTCCTGCTGATGTTCAGGTGTATATCAGTATGTAGTGTCTCTACTTTAAAGAGTCCTCTCCTGCTGATGTTCAGGTGTATATCAGTATGTAATGTCTCTATTTTAAAGAGTCCTCTCCTGCTGATGTTCAGGTGTATATCAGTATGTAGTGTCTCTACTTTAAAGAGTCCTCTCCTGCTGATGTTCAGGGTGTATATCAGTATGTAGTGTCTCTACTTTAAAGAGTCCTCTCCTGCTGATGTTCAGGTGTATATCAGTATTTAGTGTCTCTACTTTAAAGAGTCCTCTCCTGCTGATGTTCAGGTGTATATCAGTATGTAGTGTCTCTACTTTAAAGAGTCCTCTCCTGCTGATGTTCAGGTGTATATCAGTATGTAGTGTCTCTACTTTAAAGAGTCCTCTCCTGCTGATGTTCAGGTGTATATCAGTATTTAGTGTCTCTACTTTAAAGAGTCCTCTCCTGCTGATGTTCAGGTGTATATCAGTATGTAGTGTCTCTACTTTAAAGAGTCCTCTCCATGCTTTAATGTTCAAAAAGCTCTTTCTTTTTACGGCCTGCCACGTACAATGTGTTGGAGAGCTAGCCAATAAGAGCGTGTTTCATTGTGATGTCACTTTGTTACTTGGACCCTTGGTAAACATTATCCTTTAATGGAATTTATTCACAAAATGAGGAGTCATGAAAATCAATAAGTCTCAACATTTATTTGTGGAATATGCATAAAGCTGACAGACTAATGAACTGCATCAGTTTAAAGCAGAACATTACGAGCAGGACAATAAAATAAAAAAGCAAACGTTGTTATTGTGTATAAATATGAATATGAAAGTGTTAGATCAGAGAGAGCGAGCAGAGCAGCGTCAGCAGCAGAGCGACGGACACACGATATCTCTGGGATCCTGAAAAAGAAACACAAAGGAGTTATACTGGTTTATAATGGTAGTAACAGACACACATCAGGAGTGGAGTGCACCAGCTGAGCGTAAGACTGGGCGTAACTCTACGTCCGACGAGAAGGTTAAGACCAAACTAAAGTTATGACTAGTGCACCACTTAGACTTAAGCCCTGTATGCGTTGCGCCCGGGTGTAACTTTTACGCCTAGTATGGTGCAGGCGTAAATCGGGAAGACAGACTAGTATCCATGGTAACGTAAAACAGGCAAGAAGGAAAGTAACGATGGCAGGGCGTCTTGTTTACAGGTTTAACAACGAAAGGGCATTAAGACGAGAGAGTCGTCCGTCATCGAACAAACCCACTGGACATCTGTTCAGTGAGCTGATAGAGGTTTCGTTTCGGCAGACCTTTTTGAATTAATCGAGGAGATCTCCCCTCAACTGCAGCACGGATCAGACAGAAACGCTCTCCCCAACCTTGCAGGTGCTGATTGCGCTCAGATTTTACGCTAACGGGCTGCTTTGAATGGAGAAGTTCGAGTGTTAAGTTATGTAGAGTCTAGACGTGTGTTTCTTGGCAACAATTACTGTTTGGCGTGTCTTGTCGTGGACGCACATCTTAAGACCAGGCGCAGCTACGCCCGTGACTAGTCAGGCTTGGTGCACTTGGTGTAAATTCGAATCACTAAGTCGGACGTTAGAGTTAAGACCTACTTGTTTACGCCCAGCTGGTGCACTCCACTCCTGATCATCAAGACCAGTGTTGGGAGTAACACTGCATTTTTATACCTTGAACTCTTTTTATTTTTGCTTCTCTTATTCTCGTTATAATTATTATCATTGTTTTTTTTTTTCCTAACGTGTTCAATACATTTAATAAAATAAAAAACGTGACGGACCTCCGTGCAGCAGCAGCTTCTCCGTGACGCTCAGAGAGCCGTTGTGCGGCGCCGGATCGATCTGCAGCACTTTGCACATCAGAGGGTAGATGTGGATGCTGTCGAATGGCTCCGACAGGAAGTTCTTCTTGAAGTCGGGTCCGAAAGCCCAGAAGATCGTCTTCATGTCCATCTCGCTGTTATGGAAGCCGTGGTCGCCTTTGTTCACGTACACGATGAATCTCTGCGGGAAACAGATGAAGGATTAAAGAAATATTGAGATCATCACATCCTGACTTTGATACACATTTATTTCCCTAGAGAGCTGCAGGGATGTGGTATTTCTGTGTTGGACCCTGAAGGCAGCATCTCCCTGGACCAATGGGATTTCTCCATGTGATTTTGGATTATTGCAGAAAATAATCTCTGTCAAACAAATGTTAATGATATGTACACGTTTAGTTAGCAGGATAATCTCCACATGTTAACACCACTTTATGATTTCTGAAGTCAAATCTAACGTTAGGCTATAAAGGAACTACAGCACGGTCACATGACTTCACGTCACCACCGCTAAGCTAAATGAGGCTAATGTTGGGCTATAAAGGAACTACAGTACGGTCACATGACTTCACGTCACCACTGCTAAGCTAAAGGAGGCTAATGTTGGGCTATAAAGGAACTACAGCACGGTCACATGACTTCACATGACCACCGCTAAGCTAAAGGTGGCTAATGTTGGGCTATAAAGGAACTACAGCACGGTCACATGACTTCACGTGACCACCGCTAAGCTCAAGGAGGCTAATGTTGGGCTATAAAGGAACTACAGCACGGTCACATGACTTCACGTCACCACAGCTAAGCTAAAGGTGGCTAATGTTGGGCTATAAAGGAACTACAGCACGGTCACATGACTTCACCTCACCACCGCTAAGCTAAAGGTGGCTAATGTTGGGCGTGATGACGTTTAGTCGTCTCATTTAGACACTTGTTAGCAACCGCCGTTTTTTTAATTCCCCAGTAGGGTATTTACTGATGTATATTATGTTGTAGAGTGCATCTCTTCAGCTTGTGTTAACCGCAGACCTTTTTCCAGGCTAACAACCAAAAACACATTCAGAAAACCATTGACCTCCAGACCAGGGGACACGAAGTGATGAGGAGTTGTTGAACCTGAACACTAAAGGCAACAGGAGACAAAACGGATCAGATTGATGGTAAATGGACTCACAGAGTTCAGGTTGAATCCCAGATCAGCAACCACCACGATGGGAGGCAGCCGCTTGCTCTTGGCGAGGTGGAAGCTCTCTGGGAACTCGTTCTTCTTGTAAACCGTCAGATTGGGCGCCTTGGACAGAGCGTCAAACACGTCCTGCTCCTTCCCGGGCCGCGGCGTCAGAATACCGAACCCTCCGTAGTCCAGGATCTCGAAGCTGTTGAGCTGGACCAGGTTCAGGTACTTGTTGAGGACGAGCTCCTCCACCTCCGGACGCTTCTTCACCGTGGTCATGCCATGGTCGGAGGTGAGGATGACGTTCAGGCTGTCGCTCAGGTGGAGGCGGGCGATGGATTCCCGCAGGTATCCGATGGTGCGGTCGATCAGCCGGATCATGGTCTTCCTATCGGGGTGGTCGGGTCCTTTTGTTGAACAGCGCAGGATGGACCCAAGTGCAGACAGACGAACGTTTAACTGAAAATAACCTTATTCAATGCAAACAGACAAGAACTGTCTTTCCCTCTAATCACAAAAATAACCCACAAAACCCCACCAGAAAACCAGAACTTAAATACAAATATGACCAATCAAGACGACAAGACACAGCTGAGGAGAATAAAACACCAGGGAAACACAATCAGGTAAACAGGAGGGAACACAGAGACAGGAGACAATTGCAGACATGACAGACAGGGGGTGAACAACCTTCAAATTAAAACAGGAAACCGACAGACTGTGATAATTCAAAAATAAAACAGAAAACAAACAGATCCTAACACCTTTGTCGTGTCCCACTCGGTCCGGCTCTCCGTAGTACAGCGTCACCAGGTGGAAGTCCTCCTCGGAGAACCAGCTAAGCACCGTGTCGATGTTCTGCTTCCACTCGGTCTCGTTGGCGGGCCGCGGGTCCTCGACCACCACTCGGTTCACCGCCTGCCCGCTGTAGCTAACCGCGCCGCCCGGGAAGTAGAAGGAGCCGGTCTTCAGACCCTGAAACACAGAGGAAGAAAACAGACTGACTGGGCATTTCAACCAAGACAGGTGCAGCCAGGGCGTGGTTACTACAGGCACGATTACATCCAGAAACCTTTACTGTGATGGAAACTTCTGGAGCAATGGAGACTCAGGGAGACACGAGGAGAGCTGGAGCTTTGATGGCAAACACTGATGGATTATTTGGAGCTTCGGCCGGAGAATTCACAAGACATGTGCTCTGTGTCTGAAGATCTCGACCCCAGACCCATGTATTTAGCTCTGAGAGAAGAATCAACATGCTGCATAACAAGATAAAGCACTATAACCTCTATCAGCTGACGCCAACAGGCAGGAGCAGGGAGACACTGAGAGCAGCCCAAGGTGCAGCTGCTCAGTGAGGACCGACTGATCAACTGGGTCAGAGTTATGGGCCTAGGAAAATATTTCCCCAACAATTATAAGGACTTTTGTTATCCAATAGGGAATGGGAACCCCGGTGCATTCTGGGCTGCTGTTCAGCATGTCGTCGGACACTTCTTGAAATATGGAATTCTTCTTAATTTTCTCTTATAATCCCACTTTTTTCTTGAAATATTTCCACTTGGGTTTGTAATTGAGGTGCTTTAGCTCCTGTTGTAGTCCTTTAAATCCCGCTGACCATGAGATGGCAAAAGTACACACATCCTTTACTCAAGTAGAAGTACACAAATCCTTTACTCAAGTAGAAAGTACAGATACTCGTGTTTAAAAATACTCTGGTGAAAGTAGAAGTACTGACTAAACTTCTTTACTCAAGTAAAAGTAAAGAGGCTTTGAAATGTACTTAAAAGTACCCATAACTAGCAGCTGTTTAAAGAGTACCTGACCTCCCTTTATATTAATAGAACAATAATGTCATTGTTAGCTAATGAATGTTTCCATGCTGAACAACGGCAACATGACAACGTTTCCATTGGTCCCTCTTCTTTAGAGAAGACCAGGAAATGATGGATACATGGATCGTGTTCAAATCAATAGGCACGCAATGACTCTAAAGAATAATGATCACGCATCAAACACACATTCAGACTAAAGGAACCAGCTGTTTGGAAAATGAGAGAAGTAGAAAGTACAGGTATTTGAGTTCAACATGTAAGAAGTAGAAAGTTCAGGTATTTGAGTTCAACATGTAAGAAGTAGAAAGTACAGGTATTTGAGTTCAACATGTAAGAAGTAGAAAGTACAGGAATTTGAGTTCAACATGTAAGAAGTAGAAAGTACAAGTATTTGAGTTCAACATGTAAGAAGTAGAAAGTACAGGTATTTGAGTTCAACATGTAAGAAGTAGAAAGTACAGGTATTTGAGTTCAACATGTAAGAAGTAGAAAGTACCGGTATTTGTGTTCAACATGTAAGAAGTAGAAAGTACAGGTATTTGAGTTCAACATGTAAGAAGTAGAAAGTACAGGTATTTGAGTTCAACATGTAAGAAGTAGAAAGTACAGGTATTTGAGTTCAACATGTAAGAAGTAGAAAGTACAGGTATTTGAGTTCAACATGTAAGAAGTAGAAAGTACAGGTATTTGAGTTCAACATGTAAGAAGTAGAAAGTACAGGTATTTGAGTTCAACTGTAAGAAGTAGAAAGTACAGTTATTTGAGTTCAACATGTAAGAGTAGAAAGTGCAGGTATTGTGTTCAACATGTAAGAAGTAGAAGTACAGGTATTTGTGTTCAACATGTAAGAAGTAGAAAGTACAGGTATTGGTGTTCAACATGTAAGAAGTAGAAAAGTACAGGTATTTGTGTTTCAACATGTAAGAAGTAGAAAGTACAGGTATTTGATGTTCAACATGTAAGAAGGAGAAAGTACAGGTATTGGTTCAACATGTAAGAAGTAGAAAGTACAGGTATTTGAGTTCAACATGTAGATAAGTAGAAAGTACCAGGTATTTGGTGGTTCAACATGTAAAGAAGTAGAAAGTTCAGGTATTTGTGTTCAAGTGTAAGAAGTTAGAAAGTAACGAGGTATTTGTGTTCAACATGTTGAGAAGTAGAAAGTACAGGTATTTGGTGTGTCAACATGTGAGGAAGTAGAAGGTACAGGTATTTGAGTTCAACATGTGAGAAGTAGAAAGTACAGGTATTTGTGTTCAAACATGTAGAAGTAGAAAGTACAAGGTAATTTGAGTTCAAAACATGTTAAGAAGTAGAAAGTACAGGTATTTGTGTTCAACATGTAAGAAATAGAAAGTACAGGTATTTGTGTTCAACATGTAAGAAGTAGAAAGTACAGGTATTTGAGTTCAACATGTAAGAAGTAGAAAGTACAGGTATTTGTGTTCAACATGTAAGAAGTAGAAAGTACAGGTATTGTGTGTTCAACATGTAGAAGGTAGAAAGTACAGGTATTTGGTGTTCAAAGTGTAAGAAGTAGAAAAGTACAGGTATTTGAGTTCAACATGTAAGAAGTAGAAAGTACAGGTATTTGTGTTCAAAGGTAAGAAGTAGAAAGTACAGGTATTTGTGTTTAACATGTAAGAAGTAGAAAGTACAGGTATTTGTGTTCAACATGTAAGAAGTAGAAAGTACAGGTATTTGTGTTCAACATGTAAGAAGTAGAAAGTACAGGTATTTGTGTTCAACATGTAAGAAGTAGAAAGTACAGGTATTTGTGTTCAAAGTGTAAGAAGTAGAAAGTACAGGTATTTGAGTTCAACATGTAAGAAGTAGAAAGTACAGGTATGTGTGTTCTACATGTAAGAAGTAGAAAGTACAGGTATTTGTGTTCTACATATAAGAAGTAGAAAGTACAGGTATTTGTGTTCAACATGTAAGAAGTAGAAAGTACAGGTATTTGAGTTCAACATGTAAGAAGTAGAAAGTACAGGTATTTGAGTTAGAAATGTAAGAAGTAGAAAGTACAGGTATTTGAGTTCAACATGTAAGAAGTAGAAAGTACAGGTATTTGGGTTCAACATGTAAGAAGTAGAAAGTACAGGTATTTGAGTTCAACATGTGAGAAGTAGAAAGTACAGGTATTTGGGTTCAACATGTAAGAAGTAGAAAGTACAGGTATTTGAGTTCAACATGTGAGAAGTAGAAAGTAACAGGTAAGTAGTAGGGTTCAACATGTAAGAAGTAGAAAAGTACAGGTATTTGAGTTCAACATGTGAGAAGTAGAAAGTACAGGTATTTGTGTTCAACATGTGAGAAGTAGAAAGTACAGGTATTTGTGTTCAACATGTAAGAAGTAGATAGTACAGGTATTTGAGTTCAACATGTAAGAAGTAGAAAGTACAGGTATTTGGGTTCAACATGTAAGAAGTAGAAAGTACAGGTATTTGAGTTCAACATGTAAGAAGTAGAAAGTACAGGTATTTGGTTCAACATGTGAGAAGTAGAAAGTACAGGTATTTGGGTTCAACATGTAAGAAGTAGAAAGTACAGGTATTTGAGTTAGAAATGTAAGAAGTAGAAAGTACAGGTATTTGAGTTAGAAATGTAAGAAGTAGAAAGTACAGGTATTTGAGTTCAACATGTAAGAAGTAGAAAGTACAGGTATTTGAGTTCAACATGTAAGAAGTAGAAAGTACAGGTATTTGGGTTCAACATGTGAGAAGTAGAAAGTACAGGTATTTGAGTTAGAAATGTAAGAAGTAGAAAGTACAGGTATTTGGGTTCAACATGTGAGAAGTAGAAAGTACAGGTATTTGGGTTCAACATGTAAGAAGTAGAAAGTACAGGTATTTGAGTTAGAAATGTAAGAAGTAGAAAGTACAGGTATTTGAGTTAGAAATGTAAGAAGTAGAAAGTACAGGTATTTGAGTTCAACATGTAAGAAGTAGAAAGTACAGGTATTTGGGTTCAACATGTGAGAAGTAGAAAGTACAGGTATTTGAGTTAGAAATGTAAGAAGTAGAAAGTACAGGTATTTGGGTTCAACATGTGAGAAGTAGAAAGTACAGGTATTTGGGTTCAACATGTAAGAAGTAGAAAGTACAGGTATTTGAGTTAGAAATGTAAGAAGTAGAAAGTACAGGTATTTGAGTTAGAAATGTAAGAAGTAGAAAGTACAGGTATTTGAGTTAGAAATGTAAGAAGTAGAAAGTACAGGTATTTGAGTTAGAAATGTAAGAAGTAGAAAGTACAGGTATTTGAGTTAGAAATGTAAGAAGTAGAAAGTACAGGTATTTGAGTTCAACATGTAAGAAGTAGAAAGTACAGGTATTTGTGTTCAACATGTAAGAAGTAGAAAGTACAGGTATTTGAGTTCAACATGTAAGAAGTAGAAAGTACAGGTATTTGAGTTCAACATGTAAGAAGTAGAAAGTACAGGTATTAGTGTTCAACATGTAAGAAGTAGAAAGTACAGGTATTTGTGTTCAACATGTAAGAAGTAGAAAGTACAGGTATTTGAGTTCAACATGTAAGAAGTAGAAAGTACAGGTATTTGAGTTCAACATGTAAGAAGTAGAAAGTACAGGTATTTGTGTTCAACATGTAAGAAGTAGAAAGTACAGGTATTTGAGTTCAAGATGTAAGAAGTAGAAAGTACAGGTATTAGTGTTCAACATGTAAGAAGTAGAAAGTACAGGTATTTGAGTTCAACATGTAAGAAGTAGAAAGTACAGGTATTTGAGTTTAACATGTAAGAAGTAGAAAGTACAGGTATTTGAGTTCAACATGTGAGAAGTAGAAAGTACAGGTATTTGAGTTCAACATGTAAGAAGTAGAAAGTACAGGTATTTGGGTTCAAAATGTAAGAAGTCAAAGTAAAAAGTCGTCAGAAATATAAGTAGTGGAGTAAAGTACTGATACCAGAAAAATGTACTTAAGTACAGTAACAAAGTATTTGTACTCCACAACTTCCACCCTCTGAGCAGCTGGAGGTCTCACCTGGTTCTGGGCTGTGATCCATAACGGCAGAACTCCGTTGTCCCACCACTCGGACCGGGTCAGCGTCTTCAGGTGAGGGAGCTTCAGGTTCGTCTTGGCGTCGTACATCATGTTGTGGACGACCTCGTGGTCCTCCACCCATCTGCCTGAAAAACAGGAAACAACATATTTATAGAGGGGCTTTTATTCTGAAAGGGTTTCCAGGAAGCAGCCTTTATCTTCCACACGCTGACGTCAGGACAATTACTACTGATAGGTAACTACAATGCAAAGTGATCTCTGTGTTAAAGACAATAAAACAAAATATGTGTTCTAAAATGGATTTGAAACACAAACAATTATTTTATTTAAAAATGTTGATACTATAACAAGCACAGTGTGAATATGTAAAGACTTAAAACACATAAAATAACATGAGAAAATGCTAAATAAAAGTAACAATCTGTTTTCACAAAAAATACATGAAAGTGCTAAAATTATAGAAGATTATTTAATGATTTGTAAAATATATATATTTTTAAATAATTAAATAAGATTTAAAAAAAATGCATAAGAACATTTATTTTAAATAATAGTAAAACAACAAATAATACATAACATATTTATATTAAAATTAGAAATATAAAAAATACATTTAAAATAATTACATAAAAAAAATAAAAAAATTAAACAGAACAAATTAAAATGGAAAGTGCAAATGATTATTCGAAAACTAAATATGTAAAATAGATAGAAAAATGTGTACAAGTTTATGGATTAAATGTATAGAATAAATCATGTATAAATATGACATATATTTGTAGATATATATTAGTTATTATTATTTAAACACAAAATATGAATCTATTTTAAAGGTCCCCTATTATTCTGTTTCTCATCAACATATCACAGGTCTCAGATATATCCAGAGCCTGTCTCTGATTGGCTGAAAACACCAAACAGATCATGAGGTGCTTTCACACCGGAGTCCGAAAACCACCATTTGCCTCACGCATCTCCTTGGCATAGAGTTGATCAAGTTGTTGATTGTGGCCTGTGGAATGTTGGTCCACTCCTCTTCAATGGCTGTGCGAAGCTGCTGGATATTGGCAGGAACTGGAACACGCTGTCGTATACGCCGATCCAGAGCATCCCAAACATGCTCAATGGGTGACATGTCTGGTGAGTATGCTGGCCATGCAAGAACTGGGATGTTTTCAGCCTCCAGGAATTGTGTACAGATCCTTGCAACATGGGGCCGTGCATTATCATGCTGCAACATGAGGTGATGGTCGTGGATGAATGGCACAACAATGGGCCTCAGGATCTCGTCACGGTATCTCTGTGCATTCACAATGCCATCAATAAAATGCACCTGTGTTCGTCGTCCATAACATACGCCTGCCCATACCATAACCCCACCACCACCATGGGCCACTCGATTCACAACATTGACATCAGAAAACCGCTAACCCACACGACGCCACACACGCTGTCTGCCATCTGCCCTGAACAGTGAAAACCGGGATTCATCCGTGAAGAGAACACCTCTCCAACGTGCCAGACGCCATCGCATGTGAGCATTTGCCCACTCAAGTCAGTGACGACAATGAACCGGAGTCAGGTCGAGACCCCGATGAGGACGACGAGCATGCAGATGAGCTTCCCTGAGACGGTTTCTGACAGCAGAAATTCTTTGGTTATGCAAACCGATTGTTGCAGCAGCTGTCCGAGTGGCTGGTCTCAGACCATCTTGGAGGTGAACATGCTGGATGTGGAGGTCCTGGGCTGGTGTGGTTACACGTGGTCTGCGGTTGTGAGGCCGGTTGGATGTACTGCCAAATTCTCTGAAACGCCTTTGGAGACGGCTTATGGTAGATAAATGAACATTCAATTCACGGGCAACAGCTCTGGTGGACATTCCTGCTGTCAGCATGCCAATTGCACGCTCCCTCAAAACTTGGGACATCTGTGGCATTGTGCTGTGTGATAAAACTGACCGTTTGAATATTTAACAACCTCAGAAATCAATGATCCACCAAGGAGTCTAACTAGCACACAGACAATGCCAAGGACGTATGTTGAGGCAAACCAAGCTGGTCCGGAAACATATTCATTGAATATGTTTCCGGACCAACTTGGTTTCATGACATTTAAAAAATATATAGTTGAATAATATTCAACTATATATTTTTTAAATGTCATGATTTGTGCAAAAGCCAAAAGATATTCAGTTTGAATACGATAGCAAACAGAGGAGAGCAGGACATCTCTGCAATGGACAGAGTGGAAATGGCATGTTCTGCCATTTTGGAACCGAAGGTATGGAATAAACACAGAGTAGTTATTTAGAGCGTCTTCTCACCGGAGATGGTGGTGAAGTGCGAGGGGGAGGTCATGGTGAGCATGGGGGGGGTGATGTACTTCGCCCGGACCCCCTCCCGCCCCAGCTGGTCCAGGTGAGGCGTCTCCACGTCCCGGTCGTAGTCCCATCTGAAGCCGTCGAAGGAGATCAGCAGCAGCCGGTTCCTCTGCCCGGACGCTGCCCTGCTCAGAGGCACGCCGGCAGCACAGCTGAGCGAGAGCAACAGAGGCAGGATCCAGTCCATGATGAGGACACCTGGGAGGACACCTGACTGACTGAAGCTCACCTGTCACGTACACTGAGGCTCACCTGTCTGTGGGAGGAGACCTGTCACACACACCTGACTGAGGCTCACCTGTCTGTCTGACGCTCACCTGTCTGTCTGACGCTCACCTGTCTGACGCTCACCTGTCTGTCTGACGCTCACCTGTCTGTCTGACACTCACCTGTCTGTCTGACGCTCACCTGTCTGTCTGACGCCCACCTGTCTGACGCTCACCTGTCTGTCTGACGCTCACCTGTCTGTCTGACACTCACCTGTCTGTCTGACGCTCACCTGTCTGTCTGACGCCCACCTGTCTGACGCTCACCTGTCTGTCTGACGCTCACCTGTCTGTCTGACGCTCACCTGTCTGTCTGACGCTCACCTGTCTGTCTGGGCTCACCTGTCTGTTTGAGGCTCACCTATCTGTCTGATGCTCACCTGTTTGTCTGACACCCACCTGTCTGTCTGACGCTCACCTGTCTGTCTGACGCTCACCTGTCTGTTTGAGGCTCACCTATCTGTCTGACACCCACCTGTCTGTCTGACGCCCACCTGTCTGACGCTCACCTGTCTGTCTGACGCTCACCTGTCTGTCTGACACTCACCTGTCTGTCTGACGCTCACCTGTCTGTCTGACGCCCACCTGTCTGACGCTCACCTGTCTGTCTGACGCTCACCTGTCTGTCTGACGCTCACCTGTCTGTCTGGGCTCACCTGTCTGTTTGAGGCTCACCTATCTGTCTGACGCTCACCTGTCTGTCTGACGCTCACCTGTCTGTCTGACACTCACCTGTCTGTCTGACGCTCCCCTGTCTGACGCTCACCTGTCTGTCTGACACCCACCTGTCTGTCTGACGCCCACCTGTCTGACGCTCACCTGTCTGTCTGACGCTCACCTGTCTGTCTGACACTCACCTGTCTGTCTGACGCTCACCTGTCTGTCTGACGCCCACCTGTCTGACGCTCACCTGTCTGTCTGACGCTCACCTGTCTGTCTGACGCTCACCTGTCTGTCTGGGCTCACCTGTCTGTTTGAGGCTCACCTATCTGTCTGACGCTCACCTGTCTGTCTGACACCCACCTGTCTGTCTGACACCCACCTGTCTGACGCTCACCTGTCTGTCTGACGCTCACCTGTCTGTCTGACACTCACCTGTCTGTCTGACACTCACCTGTCTGTCTGACGCTCCCCTGTCTGACGCTCACCTGTCTGTTTGAGGCTCACCTGTCTGTCTGTACACCTGTTTGGCTCCGCCTAGAATCACCTGCCTGCAGTGCTCGAATGTAACTATGTATTTACTGAAGTACAAAACTCAAAGTATTCCACATTTTCCTTCAAATCTGGAATTATTACAACTTTTTTGTCAATATATTCCCATTTCCTATTTCCAAAAATATTTCTTCAAAATCTGGAAAAACTACAACTATCTTTTCTTCAAAAATATTACACACTTTTATTTATTTGTACTAATTTTTTATCTCAAAATAAATAAATACAAATCTTGAAACATTCTGATTTCTTTTAAAGATCATTCCTATTTTTCTAGAAATGTTTACTTAAAAATCTGGAAATACTTCAGTTTTTTGCTCCGTGTATATTCAGTTTGTTTCTTCAGCTGAAAATCCTTCTTGGCTTCTACTGAAGAAACATTTTGTATTTTAATTGTGATGCAGTATTTCCAGTATGTGTCCTCTCCCTGAAGTCCAGTATCAGAGTGTTTATAACTGTGATAGAGATCAGCGGTGAAGGACGGAACCTTCCACTATCGGCAGGAAACGTTTTTATTATCGATCATCTGTGGACCCGGCTGATAACAGATATTATTATATCATGACAGACAGTTATAGAGTGGTGCAGGGACGAGTCCTAAAACCCGGAGGTGAGTCAGCATTTCTCCACTTCCTGTTCCCTCGTCTCAGAGCCAATGGGATCTCTCCATAGGATTGTGGAAAACAGCCGGAACTAAGGTCTGTGGTTGAGACTCATCTAAGAGACGGATCACGTTTTGTTCTAGACATTAAATCATCAGCAGTGACCCCACTGGAGATTTCTGAAGAGTGGACGTGTCTGAGAAACGATGGTTGTTACCAAGTGGCTGAATAGGACTACAGAAGTCGTGGAGGTCGTTGTACGTCATTACGCCGAACACGTGAACACTCCTCTAAGTTAGTTTCTGTTCTGCTTGAAAGCAAGTCCCTGCCTCCTGCAGACTGTTCAAACAAACGCTTCAACTCGTTCCATTTAGAGTCTGTGTGTTTGAATATGGATCTGAAGTCGGTGTGACGTTGAAGTCGTGCTGCTGGACTCGCCTGTAGTTCCTTCTTAGCATAGCGTTAGCATTTAGCTTCTGGCGTTAGAGTTATGATTCAAGCATTATGAAAGTAGGGTAGACGTGTGGAGATTATCCGGCTGAACTAAACGTGTATTAAACAGGTTAGTTTTCCACAGATCTTATTTCCAGCTATGTTCCTAAATCCTCTGGAGAAATCCCGTTGCTTTTTTGTCGAGGGAACCAGCAGCTTCCTTCAGGGTGAACACGTCATCCCTGCACCGCTCTAGGCACTTCACAAGGCTTTTAATAATTAATCATGTTTAAATAATACAATTATCATTACTATCTTGTTTTATCCTCAATCCTGCACACGTTACGTTTAAAATCAGCCCAACTCTCCAGTCACATTTTATTATATTTTCTAAATAACTATATTTTGTGTATTGTTATTATTTGATTTATAATAGTACTATTTATTATTATTTTTCTTCTTTCTCTGTCACTTATACCAAAGCTAATTTCTCACGTGTAAACCTACACTTGGTAATAAAAACCAATTCATATTCTGATAAAGAGAGACAGTACAGGTGGTTAGAAATGTAGTATGTCAATGTTTTAAAAACATTACATTACATGCTAGACGCTTTTATCCAAAGCGACTAACATCAATACTGTGAGCAATCCCCACAGGAGCACTTTGGGCCTTACAAAGGGAAGCACTCTATTGCCGGCATGGACATTTTCCCCATTGGGACATAACAGTCGTGGGCAATATATTAGGGCCGTGGGATCGCCTTGGCTTTTTACCGTCACTTGGCAGTCTAAATGAGTACACGCAACACAACATAAAATAACCGGGAGAGAGAAAAGAGGAAACTGATTGCTGAAGCCACAAGGTGATGTTTAAATAAGCAAAAAGTAAAGAGGGCTCACCATCCAATTTGCAAAGTAAACTTAAAGGGGACCTATCATGCAAAGTGCACTTTTATACATGAATATGTCCCCGGTGTGTCAGGGAACTCACTGAGTGTCAGGAAACACAACCCTCTCTCTTTTCCTCCGTACCCACATCTCTAAAAACGGAGCTGATACAGATTTGAATGTTTCTGACGTCAGAAAAGGGGTGCTCCGCCTATATGGGCAACTCTCCAGCTATCAGGGGAATGAGAGGTTGGGCCACGGCCATTGCTGCTCGAATGCACTGGAGACGCTGTAGTACATTTGCCAGGCCTGTGGGTGGCGCTGTAGTCTGCCACAAAAGCAGCGAAGAAGACTTCTCACAGAATCAGCCCCTGCAAAAACAGGGCTGGAAAAGAGCAAATAGAGCGAAATGAGGCATGGCTGAAATGCATGATCTGTTTGGTATTTTGAAAAAAAAACTTCACAGACGTGTTTCATATAGGTATGGCCCTACAATATATTATTCAAATACAGCATGATAGGTCCACTTTAAAGGTGGGGTAGGTAATTTTGAGAAACCAGCTCGAGTGCGCTAGAATTTGAGAATACACAACGGGAGAAAATCTGCCACTTCCTCACAGAGCCCCTCCTCCAACACACACGAACGTGCACGTGACCAATGAGGGCACGAGATAAGTTTGTGCCCAGATGGAAGGCTGACAGGCAGGTAGGCCATCCAGTTACTTTAGCCGGCTCAGATGATTGGTCGTGCTTTTTACAGCGCCACGGCTTCCACTGATGATGTTTTGTTTATGGATTTTTTGCCAAAGCACTTCAGATATTCATTGCTATCGGGATGTCAAGAGCACTCCATGGAATATAACAAGTGTATCTCGAGCCGGTTTCTCAAACTTACCTACCCCACCTTTAATGTAAACTGAGAACGACTTTCTCCTAAAAGAAAGTGACTAAAGTAAAACACACAGATACACTGGAGCACATCTCCTAATAATGAACAAAACACAGGTGAAACTAGCCGGCCTCACACAGAGACACATGCAGCCCAGAGGAGAAGGGAGAGAGACTGCAGCCTTCCTGAGGTCCTTTATGGAGGCCTTGATTGGGGATTGGGAGCACCTGAGGGAGAGGCTGCACCTGGAGGGAGACACACGCACACACACAGCGTATACTTTGAGAAAAATGCAAAAATAAATGTGTTGACTCAGTATTTCCCACTTGATGTAAAAAAATAAAACGTCATATCTGTGTGTTGGTCTTCTTATCTGATAATAATATGGTGGGGGTAATAAAACTCAATGACTCGGCAAACTGACCTGAAGGACAGGCGTTTCACTTTGAAAGAAGTCAGGGTTTGATTAATGCACCTTCATGTTAAATATCGGCTTCGGATTCAACAGAAATATATCAAAATAGAAAGAATTCATTTTAAATCCTGATTAAAACACTGATGATCTGATTCTATGTGTTCCACATAGAAAACAAAGAGGGTGTTTCTCAATGTCGAGGACGCTTCCTTGGTAGGACATGTCTTCCGAGTCAGGTCCTTCAGAAGCGAGGCAAGAATCCTTCCTAGCCTCGGAGAACGAAGAATGGTGGAGCAGGCTAACTGGTGTGCGTCATATGCGAGGCCCCGCCTTCAATGGAGCGCGATTTCTGCCAAAGATTTTGAAATTGGTCCGTGCGCAAAGCATTGTGGGGATTTAAAGACCGCGGAGGATACACATGTGCAGCCTCGAAATGTCCCGCGACGAAGGACGCCGGCCTCGGTAGAATTCCAAGTATGCTGGACATTGGAACAGTCCTTCGGCGGCACTCGATGACGTAGCATGCTTGAAATAGTGGCATCCTTCCTCAACATTGAGAAA